CTTAGTTTCCTCTAAGGTTTGTTCTAGCTTTTTAAGTTTGATCTTTAAATTCTTATTTAAAATTTCAGCTTGAACAGTCTCCTCAAATAGTTCATTAACGGCTAGTTTAAGCTTTTATTGATCATCATCGTCCTTTTCGGCTTCACTTCTAGGGTAGCTACTTTCATCATCTTTTGTATCGGTATTTAGTTCAGAAGGTTCATATTGGAAGTACCTCGAGGTTCAACAATTGCAACCAATGCTACTTGATGATACCTTTTTTTATTTTTTATTTTTAGTTGGTACTCACACACACATGCCTCCACTGAGTTTCGAACCCCTGACCTCCCTTGGAAAAGTAGGAGCCTGGTACTGCTAGGCCACATGCCTGTTGGTTACTTGATGATGCCTCATCACCCTCAAAAGAAGAAGAATCACTATGGATTCAGATGAATTGTGAGTGTGACTTTCATTATCCTAATTTTAGTTTTCTTCTTTTTATCCTTACTCTTCTTTCGGTTTCTTTGGACAATCACTTAGTTTTTCGCCACAATTGCAGCAAGTTACATCCTTAGAATTATTTATTTATTTATTTATTATTTTTTTCCCCTTTTAGTCAAATTTCTTAGGAATTTTACCTTTCTTGCTTTATTTATTCTTTAAGAAGGTTTTTAATTTTCTAATAAACAAAGCAAATTTTTTTTTTTTAATTATTTTTTAATCAGAATCACTACTTGTATTCCCCCCCCCCCCCCACAAAGTCTCTTAAATAGCTTTTAGTGCAAGGTTCTATCCATTTTTAGTTGGAGGATTATTTAAGTCATAAGTTTGCAATGACTAGGTCATTTATCTTATAATTATTTGATCTATATCTTTTCTTTTCTATGGAGTGACTTAAGTTTTAAATCTATCATGTATTGATTAATAAGGTACCCTTTGTTTATGAGATTGTCTTGCTAGAATGAAATTGTTGTTCACTTTGTCATTAATCTTAGTGCAATATTCATCAAAAGTTTCCCCATCTTTCATCCTAAGATTTTCAAACTTAATGGTCAGCATATGAAGTTTGGAGATTTTAACGGTAGTGGTTCCCTCATGTTCTTTTATGCCATGCATCTCTTGCAAGAGTGCAATTCATTAGCCTGCCAAACTCAGTTGGGGTTATGCTGCAGAAATAGTATTTAATACCGAATTGTAATGTGCATCTACTAGTTCATCTTTTGTACAATTAGACACAGCGTTGAGAGTCCCACACTTAGTTAGGGTTGCAACTTGGGCGGGCTAACTAGCCCAACCCAACCCCAACCCAGAAAATTTTAAATTTGGGATTAAAATTTACAAATCAAGCTCATGTTCGGGTTGGGCTCGGGCTCAACCCGAACCCAACCCAAAACCCAAAAAAAAAAAAAAAAAAAAAATTTAATTTTTTTTTTTCTCCCTTCTTCTTTTTCTTTCTCTTTCTCTCGCCGCCGTCGTCCCTCTGTTGCTGCTGCCATTGTCAATCGCCCTTAGCCGCTGATCCACCGTCGCCGCCGTCCCTTCGCCTCTGCCGCTGCCGCCGTCACTTCCAAAATTTAAAACAAAACTCATACATACAAGTTAGCAGTTGCAGAGAGAGAGGGGGGCAAGCTTGAGAGTTGAGAGACAGCGGCTGAAGGTTGCGAATGGCGAAACCGAATTGGAACAGCGGGCGATGCAAACTGAAAGATATGGGTTTTGATTTTTTGAACAATGGAAATGATATGCCGATGTGGGTTTTGATATAGTTAGTAGGTTTTGAACTTTTGATTCTTGCAGACTGATAGATAAACTGAAATATATGGGTTTTGAACTTCTGATTCTTGTAGATTTTGTAGTTTGCAGTTGTAGAGAAAGAGGGCAAGTTCAGAGTTGAGAACGAGAATAGAGATGGAAGCGATTGGGAGGCTGAAATGATTTGCCCTAAAAAAATTTTGTTTTTAAATAATAATATAATCAAATATTTATATATATATAAATTTCTGAAAAAAAAAATTAAGAAAAAAAACCTCAACCCGTCAACCGACCCAACCCGTCCGAAAATATTTGGGTTGGGTTTTGACCATAACCCATGTTTGGTACAATTCGGGCTGGCCCAACCCAACCCGATTCAGGTTGAGGTTGGGTTGGGACTGGGCTGGGTTGGGCCAGCCCAACTTGCTGCCGTACTCTTAGTTGTTGGTAGTCTATTGCCAGACCATTTCATCGAAGGACTTTAGAAATATCTTAGTCCTAGCTTACCAGTTTCTATAGTTTGTTCAATTTAGGAAAACTAGCCTAGATATAGAATTGCTTCCCTCAGACTTTCCATGACCTACTCTGTATTGTTTGAGCAACCTTCTCTAATACCAATTGATGGGTTTACGTGCGTAAAACGTCACTAGATTGAACCCGAGAGGAATAGGAGATCCACGTTAGAGATGCTTGGAGTGCAACTCCTCTTTGTATATGGTGGGGTTTGTGGCATGAGAGGAATAGGAGATCCTTTGAAGGCGAGGAGTCCCCTGCTTGGGTTCTTAAATTGAATATTTTGCATTCTCTTTTCTTTTGGGTCAAGTGGTCAACAGGCGAAATTGTTTATCTATGGATAAACTTTTGGAGTTTGTTGACAGTTTGAAGTTGTTGTGACGCCTATGGTGTCTTTAGCTTTTGTTTTTCCAGGAGCGCTCTCCTTTTTGAGCGTCTTTAATGATAGATTCTTATTACTTATCAAAAGAATTTGCTCGAGTTATATGCAATTTTCAATTCAAATTTAACAAGTATTCAATCATAAATTTATTCATAAAAGCAGTAAAGTAATAATCATATAAACTAGATTTTTACGTGGAAAAACTCTCAAATTAGTGTTAAAAAACACGGGACCTAGTATGGCAAATTAATTTACTATAAAAATTGAGATACACAACCTAGGTCACACTTTCAGTACTAGGTGTGCACACGGTTTGGAATCGGAGCTGGAACCGTTCCCAACGGTTCCTAAAAATTGGAACCGGAACCAGAACCATTGGGACATGGAACCGAACCGTAAAGACCGGTCCGGTCCGGTTTGGTTCGGTTCCACGGTTCCCCTTATTCTGCAGCAAACAAAATTTACAAAACTCTATGCGATCACCGACACTGACATACATGGTAGTAATAGTAGTAATAAACCAGTAAAGAGAATCTCATCTGAGAGATCTCACATCTTCAGTGCAGATCCGAAGAGGAAGGCCACGATGGTGAGGAGACAGCCGACGGTGAACCGGAACCGTGAGGAACTGGAATCGAAGCACCGGTTTGGTTCGGTTCCATCGGTTCTTTGTACACCCCTATTCAGTACAGTTCAAACTCCTAGTTGATCTCTAGACACAGCAAGACACCAAACCTTTTGTCGCCTTTCTAATTTGTCTACAACATTCACCATGAATTTGTTTCTTCATTGATTAATCTCATCCACTAGTTTATTTACTTGAGAATCTGGTTGATTACTCTTGAATAACCTTGAGTAGCTCAACAACGAATGTATCAACACCAGTTATGAACAACTCACCAAATCTAATATGTATAATGATTATTGAAAACAAAAACAAAGCACTTTTCTTTCACAAGAAAACTGTCGAAAATATTTAGTGCAAAATAAGAGCTTTGATCTTCCGTATGAAAAGAAATAAACTTTTTCTACTTTTCAAAAGTGTTGGGAATTAATCCCCTTCATTCGGCACAGTGGAAGCAAGACACAAACAAGGACGCATAATAACACAGTATTTTACGTGGTATGGCTGAACTCGACGTACATCCATGGAGAGAAGAAATTTCACTATACTGAATCAAGAAGAAAATATACAACTGTAGAGATTGCACAATCTCTTCTATATTTGGTATATCTGAACTGCAAATTATTTTTAGAGTATAAAAAAAGGAAAAAGAAAAAGTAGAAGAAGAAGAAAACACATGAGAAGAGATATGAAACCATGTAAACAAGATAATCCACTCATTAGAAACCAAAGAAGATCAAATAGCTCAAAGTAATTTTAATAAATTATGATTACATGTTCAATTTCTCAGAACAAACATATATACGAGTGTCTTCTAAATATTTTGGGTCTTCTTTTCTCAAGACTGCTGTTGTTGAGTGCCTGTTCTTCCCCTCTTCCAATTGTAAGATAAAGAATAAGGCAGGAGATGAGGTTGGGGGTCAAGTACCACACGTGTAAGGACTCATCTAGAGCCATTAAATTTCATCAATCTAATGTGTTAGATTTGTTAATGTTGAAGAATAAAGACCTGACACATATCATGCGACAACAATTTGTTTATTCTTATTTCTTGTGCATTTTATGGTAAAATCATGTGTCATATGAGATGTGACTAATGAAAGAACATATTAACAAACACGTTGGCCTCCTGTTCGTGACCCTGATAAAGCCAAATCTGTTCTGTTCTAGCTCGGCTCATTTATTAAAGAGATGAATTGCACTTAAGTTTGGCTTGCTGAGCAATATGAACAAGCATGAACTAGTTTTTATTGAGCTGAGCCCGATCTTTCCACGTACATTGTTATCCTTTTGGTTCCACGAGATGTTATTCAGGGAGCATGTCTCAAGATTTGTCAAATAGGGAGGCTATTTCCTGTCCTTTTGGCTGCCTCATGGCCAGCATGCAGTTGATCTGCCATTTTCACTTGGTACTGTGGAAAATTCCATTTGTTTTGATGATAGTGCTTCCATTGTGTAACTGTAGTAAATGCAACTTTTTTTGTTAGTTCCAATTGACTCGGTATCTTAAACTGTTCTTGGGTTAGCTGGAGATTGTGATGTGAATTCTCACCTAAAATAATTTCTCAGAAGAAATTTCTATTTATGTTTTTATGTTACTCTGAAATGTTTATGTAAAATTCGATTTATATCAATTTATTTATGTGTTTATATCATTTGTCACATATATGTAACAAAAGCTTACCATATATGTGTATCTGTTTTGGTTTTAATGGCTGGCATTGGCTGTGATCTTGTTTTGCTTTGTAGGATGAAATTCATGAACGGGATCGCTATTCTGATTTCATGCTAGCAATTCTCAGGTTTGCTTTGCTTGCTTTAAAGTCTCAAATTTTCTTGCTATACTTAAATGGATATGGGTATGTATAATTGCTTTGGACATGAATGACTTGGTAATACAGATTCTATGTTGATGCGGGGAATGCCAAACATGTGATGGTTTATGATGACTACCTTATATCTTAAATACTATTGTTAGTTAGTGAATTTCATCCTTTATATAGTCATTAAGAATATTTTTAGAATTCTTTGTTTCACTCTTACACTGAAAGAAACAGTACTCACAAGCAAAGTTGGTAGTTTTTGTTCTTCCATGTTAGTTAGATAATCTACTTATATTAGTTTCTTGTTATCTGCAGAGACATGCTTCCTTCATATCCTCATCTACATCTGGTTAGTATCAATCTGTATATGTGTAACATATATATATATATATATTTTCTAATATTTACTATTTCAGTAATTTCTTTCTTCAAGTAGTAGTCTTCAATGGACTTCATCACCAGTTTTAATGCAATAGGTACTGATGAGTGCTACACTTGATGCTGAACGGTTTTCACACTACTTTGGTGGTTGCCCAATTATCCGAGTCCCTGGGTTCACTTATCCTGTAAATTTTTTTCCCTGTTGTATGTTGCATATTTATTTATTTGTTTATTGTTGATTTCTGTTTTTGATTTTTGTAGCATTCTTGATTCAGGTGAAAACGTTTTATTTGGAGGATGTACTTTCTTTATTGAAATCACTGGAAAATAATCACCTTGATTGTACTTCAGAGAGTGTTACAATTAAGGAGTCCAAGTTAACAGAAGAATACAGAGTTGCCCTTGATGAAGCTATTAATTTGGCTTGGTCAAATGATGAGTTTGATCCCCTCCTAGATTTAGTTTCTTCTGAAGAAGCTCCAATTTTTTTTAATTATCAGCATTCTTTGACTGGAGTAACACCATTAATGGTATTAGCTGGAAAAGGTAGAGTGGGTGATGTTTGCATGCTTCTCTCTTTTGGTGCTGACTGCAGTATACGAGCCAATGATGGAACAACTGCAGTGGGTTGGGCTGAAAGAGAGGGTGAGGGAGAAGCTGCTGAAATTATAAAAAAACACATGGAAAAATCCCTTTCCAACTCTGAGGAAGAACAACAAATACTTGAGAAATATCTATCAACTATCAATCCTGAACTTATTGATGTTGTCCTTATAGGGCAATTAATAAGGAAAATATGTATCGACTCGAAAGATGGAGCTATCCTTGTTTTCCTTCCTGGGTGGGATGATATAAATAGAACACGAGAGATATTAATTTCTAGCCAGTTCTTCAAAGATTCTTCTAAGTTTGTAATTATATCTCTCCATTCTATGGTCCCATCTGTGGAGCAAAAGAAGGTTTTTAAACGGCCCCCTCTTGGTTGTCGCAAAATAATTCTTTCAACTAACATTGCTGAGACTGCTGTCACCATTGATGATGTTGTTTATGTTATCGACAGTGGAAGGATGAAAGAAAAAAATTATGACCCTTACAACAATGTTTCAACTCTTCATTCTTCTTGGGTTTCAAAAGCAAGTGCAAAGCAACGAGAAGGACGTGCTGGACGCTGCCAGCCAGGAATCTGTTATCATCTTTATTCAAAACTTCGAGCAGCTTCATTGCCAGATTTCCAAGTTCCTGAAATCAAGAGGATGCCAATTGAGGAACTTTGTTTGCAGGTACCTGTTGATCTCCTTGTTATGTTTGGAGAATCCAAAAATATGAGATACAGGGAATCTAGTGAATGTTGGGACAATTACATATTCTTTTTTGTTTACCATGTTTGGAGGATCACTAGTTTGAACAAATACCTTTTTCCTTTTTAATTGCTGATTTTTGTTGTCGTGGAAGTAAAATAATGCCTTTTATGATTCTTTGGAAGTCTGTTAATAATTGTTGCATTACTTGCAATTTATGAACATATTTGTGATGTATTCTATAATGCTGAATGTCTTTTTTACTCACTAACAGGTGAAGCTACTTGATCCAAATTGCAAAATAGGAGATTTCTTACGGAAAACATTAGACCCGCCGGTTTTTGAAACCATACGTAATGCGATTATTGTTCTTCAAGATATTGGGGCCCTGTCACTTGATGAGAAACTTACAGAACTCGGGGAGAAGCTGGGTTCTCTACCAGTACATCCCCTAACAAGCAAGATGCTTTTCTTTGCCATATTATTGAATTGCCTCGAACCAGCTTTGACTTTGGCTTGTGCATCTGATTACAGAGATCTATTTACTCTTCCCATGTTGCCTAATGAAAAGAAGAGAGCTGCGGCTGCTAAATCTGAGCTGGCTTCACTCTATGGTGGGCATGGTGATCAACTAGCGGTAATAGCTGCATTTGAGTGCTGGCAGAACGCCAAGGAGAGGGGTCAAGAAGCACTTTTTTGTTCTCAATACTTCATGTCTTCAAGTGCCATGAATATGCTATCCAGAATGCGCAAGCAACTAAAATCTGAATTAATCCGGAATGGTTTTATTCAGGAAGATGCATCTGGTTTTAGCCTAAATGCACGGGATCCTGGTATACTCCATGCAGTCCTTGTGGCTGGTTTGTATCCAATGGTGGGGAGATTACTTCCACCTCACAAAGGCGGAAAGCGATCAGTTGTGGAAACTGCTAGTGGTGATAAGGTCCGGTTGCACCCTCAATCCACAAACTTTAAGTTATCATCTAAGTCATCTGTTGATCAGCCTTTAATTATATATGATGAGATAACCCGTGGAGATGGGGGTTTGCACATTAGAAAATCTAGTGTTGTTGGGCCTCTCCCGTTATTACTGTTAGCAACAGAGATTGTTGTTGCTCCTGCTAACGATAATGATGATGGCGGTGAAGATGATGATGAAAGCGACTTTGAAGATGACGACGATGATAGTGATGAAGATAAAACAGAGATGCATGATAAGACTGCTGTACGACATGGAGAAAAAATCATGTCCTCTCCTGATAATACTGTTAAGGTGGTTGTTGACAGGTGGCTATACTTCGAGTCAACAGCACTTGATGTTGCTCAGATTTACTGTTTAAGAGAGAGACTTTCTGCAGCAATTTTGTTCAAAGTAAGATCTTGTATTGTTTTACTTTTGGAGGGTTACTAAAATATGCATGAAGTTGATGCAGACAATCTCTGCGTTATCTTAAAACTTTATATTTCCCGAGTCTAATTCTTACCTTGTTGGTTTGTAGGTAACTCATCCAAAAAAAGTTCTTCCTCAACTTCTTGAGGCTTCTGTATATGCAATATCCTGTGTTCTGTCATATGATGGGATGTCGGGAGTCTCATTGTCATTGAAATCTGTGGATGCACTGACTTCAATGGTGAATGCAACTGAAATTGACCAAGAATCAGGGAGAAAGAAAATGGGTCAGAATCCAAATGGTTTTATGAGATCGCTCATGTGGAATGACAACCCCCAGAACTTTCCTTCAAATCATAACAAAGGTAGGCTGCCTGAAAATAAGGGTAAAGCACACTGGAATCACCCATCGAGCCATCATGTTGTGCCTCCTGCTCCAGTATTCATGAATGCAGACCAAAGATCTGCATCACAAGGTTCTAGTGCTGCTGGGTTTGGTCATGGAACGTATGGACAAATCAGTTCAAGAGCGGATTCTTTTAAGCGCCAGCGTGGTAACAGGTCTTGATAACTAAACGAGGTTGGAAAATGGACCCCAACTGGGCAGTTGGGATTAAGCTGGGAATTGAGTTCAGACGGGAATGTCCACTGGTTGCTGCTGCATCTAAAATTTCCAAGTTGCCCAAAAGTAACGCCTTGATGCTTCCATGGAGTGGGTGCTGGGTAATGTATACTTAAGCGTCCACATGATCTAATGCCTGGCTGCTGCTGCATCTAAAATTTCGGAGTTGCAGAATTGCAGAAAAGTAGCTCCTTGATGGTTCCGGGGAGTGGTTGCTGGTAATGCATTTAAGCATCGGAATTATCAAATGTCTTTTTTGGTTAGAAATTTATGTTTTTAAATGTTACATATATTATTTAACATGTGTTTATATATATATATATATGTACACACACACACACCCTCTTCTGGAGGGAATACTTGGAACTTGAACTCATTTATGCGCCCATTATTGCTCCTTATTATGTAACAAGAGTGTTATAAGCCCATTCCCACTAGAACAGAAGAGTTAATGTTATACCGCTTGCAAGTGCGGTGTTGCCCAAATGGTTGGGTTGCTCCCCGTGTCTGGGAGATCATGTACCCTTCTTCTCCTCTAACCACCAACTCTTAACATTCTTGCCTAAAAATAAAAATAAAAAATAAAAAAATTGATATACTGCTTGCCCCTACTCCCTGGGTGCATTGTTTTGTGCGTTAAGTAGGCTCTCGTGTAGGTAGAGTGAACACATCGTTTACTAGCCTACCAATTGGTAGGATATTGGCAGCTGAGTCATTCTATGAGCCATCTACAAAGTTCATCAGAGGGAGGACCAAATCGGACCCTTTTTTATAATATAGTAGACACTCTCTCGGTGTTCGTAACGATGACGAACTTCAGGCCTAAGGAAATGGTGTGAATTCTTGATGGTAAGAAACGACTGAACAGGAAAATCTTCATTCGTTCGGACACAACTGCCCAATAAGAAAAATATTATAGATCTATATATACAGCAAGATAGAATATTGGATACTACGTACATCTTTATAATTTTCAGAGCATTTGTATAAACATAAATAAAGTACCAAATAAAAATTTATTAATGGAGCAATAATATAAATACCCAACACAATCAAAATCTGAATAGCAACATTTAAACTCAATGCTCGAAGTAAATAAATTAATCCTTAATGCACACACCAGTGGATTCTCGGTTTAAACTTAATACTCAAATCGGTTTAGACTCGATATTCAAAGTAAATAAATTAATCCTCAACGCACACACCAGCGGATTCTCGGTCATTCTCCGGCGGACTACTGCCATGTATTTTCGAAATAATTTCTTTTAACCGCTCCTTTATATTTTCATCCAGTTATCAAAATGCAATTAAGCACGAGAAAGTACACAACTAAAATTCTCATCCCAGAGCAAAGTAAGCAGTTAGCTTAATCAAATACACCTAAAGTGCGGTTATAGATATTATATTTCTATAGTTCAATTACTATTTTTGTTACTAATCATTACCACTTTTATATTTACTAATAGGAAATTCTTGCATTAGAAAACCCAACAGCATGAGATTTCGAAACGAACAGTACACTACATGGATAAATCAAAATTATAGGTAAGAATATAAATACAAACAAATAAATAACACTATATATATATTTTTATATATTTATATCAATTCTGAAGACCAACAGATCCTCTCATGATACCTTAATTTGAAACTAAAAAAATTAAAATTATTAGTATTGGGAAAAAACTAGATAGAGACGAGTCACACATTTATATATAGATTCAACAGAATATATGCTCAAATCATTATATTGCACCAATCATCCTATATTCCCGTAACTAGATGAAGAAAATAATAAATAAATAAAATTCGTTAAGTATATTAACTAATCTTAGATTTATTTGATCTTTGTACGTCACACTCATATATATATATATATATAAGCAAATGAAAACTTTACCTACCATATATATATACACACACACATCCCGGATGAAGCAATAATTCAGTCTTTCTATATATTTTATTGGTCCTAGCTTAGATCTAGCGTTTGTCCTTTTAAATGTCAAAAAGGTATTCACAGGTCCATTACTTTGATACACTATTAATTCTAACGTCTTCAGGCCATTTTAGTGATGCACATGGGCAATATAGTCATTTTAAACACGAGAGAGCTCAATTTAAATTGATTAAGGAAGGTACATTGAAGCACAAGTTCAATTCCCAAGCCAAGACAATGTTATTTCTGGTGCAATTAAGTCTTTTCACACGTTTACATAATCATTTTGTATTTGCCTTTATAAACTTAAAAGGAAGAAATATAAAATAAATTTTTTTTCTGTATTAGCACACTATTCACAAGTTTACACGGGTTCTCTATTATAAGAAAGAATATACGCATATAACTAGCTGGCCTAATTAATAATTTTCTAGTTTACAATATTTGACCAATATTCTATTTACAACAAATATCCTCCAAATATTATATTTACAGCTAATAATATTTGGTAGCATTACTACCGAAACTTTCCTTTTCAATACTCCCCCTCAAGCTGGTTTGAAGATATCCTCCATAGTCAGCTTGCCAATTAGTCTGTCGAACTTTCTTGTAGGAAGTCCCTTTGTAAGCATATCTGTAACTTGCTCGGTAGTAGGAATGTACGGCATACAGATCAATCCTTTTTCGAGCTTTTCCTTGATGAAGTGTTTGTCTACCTCCATGTGCTTTGTTCTGTCATGAAGCACTAGATTGTGAGCGATCGAAATAGCAGCTTTATTGTCCCAGTACAATTTCATAGGCAACGGATTAGAGACCTTTAATTCATCCAATAACCTCTTAATCCATAACACCTCACAAATTCCATGAGTAACTGATCTAAACTCGGCCTCTGCGTTGTTTCTTGCTACTACATTTTGTTTTTTACTCCGCCAGGTGACAAGGTTACCTCCAACAAAGGTGCAGTAGCCAGAAGTTGACCGTCTATCAATAGCACTCCCAGCCCAATCTGCATCAGTATAGGCTTCAACTTGCAAATGCCCACAGTTTTTTAACAGTAGACCTCTTCCAGGGGTCCTCTTTAGGTATCTGAGAATTCTGTAGACTGCATCAAAGTGTTCTCATCCAGATGAATGCATGAACTGGCTAGCCATGCTAACTGCAAAAGCTATATCTGGACGTGTAGGCGACAAGTAGATCAGTCTTCCAACAAGTCTTTGATACTGCTCTCTATTCATAACTTCTTCATCTTTAGAAGGCTGCAGCTTAGGGTTGGGCTCAATGGGTGTCTCGGCTGGTTTACATCCTAGCAGACCTATCTCACTAAGTAAATCAAGAACATATTTACGTTGATTCACAAATATACCTTCTTTGGATCTAGCAAACTCCATTCGTAGAAAGTATTTTAATGCACCCAAATCCTTGATATCAAAATCAGCTGCAAGTCTCTTTTTCAGTCTCCCCAATTCTTCATTGTCATTATCTGTCAAGACTATATCATCCACATAGACAATTAACACTGCAACCTTGCCTTCTTTACTGTGTTTGTAGAACATGGTATGGTCAGCTTGGATCTGACAGTAGCCACAATTCTTCACAGCTCTCCCAAATATCTCAAACCAAGCTCTAGGGGACTATTTGAGACCATATAAAGATTTTTTCAGTCTACAGACTTTATTAGGTCCCAATTTTCCCTCAAACCCATATGGTAGATTTATAAAGACCTCCTCCTCAAGATCTCCATTTAAAAAGGCATTTTTTACATCTAACTGGTGTAATGGCCAACTGAAATTCACAGCCAAAGATAACAAAATTCTAATTGAGCTTATCTTGGCTACAGGAGCAAAAGTTTCCTGATAATCAATTCCATAGGTCTGGGTGAACCTTTTTGCTACTAATCTTGCCTTGTACCTCTCTATGCTACCATCAGCTTTACATTTCACAGTAAAGACCCACTTGCAACCTACTGTTCTTTTCTCCTTAGGTAAATCAATTATCTCCCAAGTACCATTTCTTCTAAGAGCATTCATCTCTTCCATCACTGCTAACTTCCAATTCGGATCATCAAGAGCTTCCTGAATGTTTCTCGGGACAAACAAGTGTGAGATTTTTGAGGTAAAAGCCCTATGAGTGTGAGAGAGTTTTTCATAAGAAAGGTATTTGGCAATGGAATATTTTGGATTTGAATATTTGATTCGAATACCTTTCCTAATAGCTATAGGAATATCAAGGTCTGATGGTTCTTGGTTAGGAGAAACAATAGGAACTGAAGATGAGTTAGGAACAGAATTACCTGTGATATCTGGAGGTCCAGTTCCCGAAGGTTGAGATTGATCATTTCCAAGATGAATAGTCTGACTTTTACTCTTTTGATGGGGTATTCTCTGAGTATAAACCAGAGGCTCAGTATTGGGAACTTTAGTGCCCGGTTGTAGTGATTCTTCCCCTGTTTCAGATACAGTAATGTTTGGCACTATATGACTAGGATTCTCTTCATTGTTTTCATTGGTTTTATCACAGTGTTCCTGACTTTGAATTTCGGGAATAATAGTAGGATGAGGTGAAGGAGTCAAAATCATATTTGATAAAGGAGTAGGAGATAAATCCCCAAAATTTTCTTCCATCAGCTATGCAGCCAAAAACCTTTAGAGGTAAATCTGAGTATATCCTTGATACTGGAAAAATTCTTTTGAAACATTCTAATGGCGTGCTATATTTTAAAACATGTGAAGGCATTCTATTAATCAAATACGAAGCTGTTAAAACAGCTTCCCCCCAAAGATATTTTGGAACATTCATTGAAAACATTATAGCACGAGCCACTTCAAGTAAATGTATATTTTTTCTTTCAGCAATTCCGTTTTGTTGAGGGGTATCCACACATGTAGACTGATGATGGATACCATTTTCTTTCAAAAAAACTCCCCAAAATTTCATTATTATACTCGGTTCCATTATCGGTGTGAAAAATGCTAATTTTTGCTTGAAACTGAGTTTCAACCATTGTGTAAAAATTCTTAAAAAATCTTTTCAACCTCAGACTTTTCATTCATCAAATAAACCCAACATAAACGGGTATGATCATCTATAAAAGTAATAAACCATTTTTTCCTAGAGATAGTAATGACTCTTGAAGGTTCCCAAACATCACTATGTATTAAATAAAATGATTTTGAAGAAGTATAAGGTTTTGGCAAATAAGTAGTACGATGATTCTTAGATAAATAACAACTCTCACAATAGAACAATGAACAATCCAAACCTTTAAATAAAGCAGGAAACAAATGTTTAAGATATGGAAAGCTAGGATGTCCTAGTCTTAAATGCCAAAACATTATTTGTTCGTAAAGAGAGTTAGAACTAACACTACTAAGGCCCTGAGCCTTTTTATTACTGGAGAAGTCCTCATCAAAGTAGTAAAGTTCATCTATTATCTTAGCACTGCCAATCTTCTTCCCCAAGCTCCGATCCTGAAA